ATCATATTAATGGGGTCCAGAGGCTAAATCATATAATGAATGGCTAAGGGAACTAGGAATGTTTAACCTAATATACCTCCACCCCTGTTTCTTGTTCAGTGAAATCAAAGGCCCGGTAAGTTGAATGTTTGGAAAGAGAAATCCCCAAATATTGGAAAAAAAATGCATCAAATTTTGACTGACTTTTATTCATTTGACTGAAAATTATTCAGTGTGGTTGCAGTAGATCACAATTAGTGTGAGTTCAAATAGTGCAAATTTTGATTTAGGGCAGTTTGATTGAATTGCCTGTTTCCTTTGATCCAGAATCAGTTATTTTACTTTTCATAAAATTATCACTTTGCATAGTGCAAATTTGAATAGTGCAACCATCTTGTGGGATTCAACAACCACACTCATCACAACCTACCTGTATTTCAAAAACTAGGACCACCCTTCATGTGTGGGGCCAGCTGCAAAAAAACATCAGCCTTAACAGATCTTCCTATGGATGGTCTTGGTGCCATCCCTGTCAAGAAGTGCTGATTTAAAGAACAGTTGAATAGCAAAACTTGGCAAAGCTGAAAATGACCCTTAAGCTAAGCAGGCCCCTTGTTCATAAAGAGTTTCAAACAACAAATTCAGAATGTTGAACAAAAATCAGAAATAAATTTGCTGGCAGTTAACCTCCAGGAAGTACAGTGTGAAGGAATCTGTTCCTCATCCATTAGTAGAAGATCAAGAACATCTTGGTCAATAGGAAATCACCCAAATGTCTCTGTGAATTTAGCTAAGGAACAGTTATTCCAATACTCATCCTTCTTTACCTTCCCAGCCTTCATTGTTATTAGGTAAACAAAGATTTTTTTTTAAAAAAAAAAAAATAATATGTACAATAATAATAACATCAACAAGAGGTACTCCTTTAAGATCTGTTTACTATGAGTTCAGTAGCCCGTTCCAGCTAGCATCCTAGAGACAACCTTTTCCATTAGCTGAAGTGCCTTTGAGGACAAACCTAGGGCTCAGAGTAGTCCAGTATTACCAAGATATGAGTAGCTGGGCCCATGTCTTTTTCCCTGATTAAGGAAATCCGACTGGAAAAATGACATGTGAAACATTGTACTTATATTAGCAGTGTTACTTATTGAGTAGGAAATAATTCAAACCACTTTAAGAAACTTTCAAAATTGGGCTTATTCCATATATAACTATCTAATGTCTGTGCCTCTGTGTATGTTAGTGTGTGTGTGTGTGTGTATGTAATCGATTCTAATACACTTATATAACTGTTTTTAACCTACTGTATTTTGTGTAAATGTCCCATATTTCATTATATTTATCCATGCAAAGTTTTGCATCTACAGGCAATCTGTTTGTAAGTGTCTCCAACTTACAAGTTGGAGGAAATGGGATCATCCATTTATTTTTCCAATGCTGCAATATTAGTCTTTTACCTATAGTGAAGGCACAAAGAATCCATTTACATTTTCCCATTGTCAGATGTGGGAGAATGTAATTCAGATATGTAATTCAAGAGAATATTATCCTCTGAAAATGTTAACTTTTGTCTCAAAGTTAGGTTTAAATGATCCACTACTTTCTCCCAAAACTTATAGGACATTGTTTTAAGGAAGCACTGTCCTTCTTACATCTTGACGATCCTTTTCTACATAAATGTAACACACTTCGTGAAACAATTCTAAATAAACTTCTAATTGTTTCTTGAATTTTCCAGTTCTCAAGTGCACAAACCCCGAATTTACTACAATAGCTTGACTTCATTGTGTGCAGTGACTTAAAATGAACTTCCTTCTCCACCACTGCTAAAATAGAAATAACCATTAGATAAGCATCTTGGGGAGGCAAAATTCCTCCTGGATCATTTGCTATAGATTTTAGCTTAGAAGCTATTATTTCTCCTGGGAATGTTAAATCAGGACAACTTTAATTACATGAGAATCTTTTTATAAGTTTGCATTGCGGTGGTTGGTTATTGGCCACTGGTGACATCTAAGTTAAAAAAAAATAGTTAATGCAAAGCCAGACTACAACTTCTTGGGAGGGGAAAATATAGAATAACTTCCATCCCTCTTCTCAAGACTGAGCATGATCACCACAAAAGACAAGAAATTTTTTTTATTCCTTCTTGGCCAAGTGCGACTGGACACGCAAAGAATTTGTCTCCAAGCATAAGATCTCCGTGTACACACAAACAACAAAGAAATAAAATCATAAGATACCAATAAGAGAAGGTAGTAGGAAAGATGAGAAGGATCATAGGCAACAACAATGCAGTACCACAATTGCACAGATTTATTGGATCAAAGCTTGAATACAGTTTTCTCTTTAATGCATTTCGCAGTTTGAACACAACTAACTAGAACCACATATGGAAGGAGACAAGAAGATTGACTTTGGTTAAGAAACCTAGAGGTCATTAAGGAAACACCAGGTGCACAAAAAAAAACAACATGTGTTAAGTCCAAAAGAGGACAGTGAGGCTTCCCAAGAGATTTAGACTCACCTCCCTGCCACCTCCCGGCGGTATAAGAGGATAGGAAGAGAAGAAAGACATGGACAGACCTGTATAATTCTGTTTGTTGACCTATTTCAATAAACTATAGTTCTAATCACTCTGTGGAATCAGCTTCCGGATCGGATCTACCTCGTAGAGCTAAAAGAGAATATCAATACAGGTAGTTCTCAACTTACAACCATTTGTTTAGTGACTGTTCCATACCACTGAAAAAAGTGACTTATGATTGCTTTTCACACTTGGAATCGCTACAGCATCCTCATGATCACATGATCAAAATTTGGACTCTTGGCAACTGACATGCATTTATGACAGTTGCAGTGTCCCCGGGAGTCACGTGATCACCTTTTTACAACCTTACAACAAGCAAAGTCAATGGGGAAGCAGGATTCACTTCACAACCGTGTTCTTAACTTCATAACCGCAGTGATTCACTTAACAATTGTGTCAAGAAAGACTGTAAAATGGGATAAAATTAACAAATATTTTGCTTAGCAACAGAAATGTTGGGCTCAATTGCAGTTGTAAGCCGAGGAATACCTATATGGCCATGCCAAATATTGGACAATTTTAGATGGAATATGTCTAATTGTGCAGTACTTCTTTTAAAAAAAACAAAGCAAAACACATGTGTGCAATCTTCTGATAATGAGGATCACACTTAATATGGGAGAAAAGACGAGTATCAATGGATACAGTGAAGACGCTAAACAGCAAAATTATTTCAGATCTATACGAGATCGTGAAGGCATACGAGAAGGTTTGTGTTTAATTGGCTTGATCCTATTTTTATGCTTGCACTGCCTCCAAATGGTAGGAAGTCATACCTTAATTTTTGGCACAGCTTCAGCAGCATTCAGCAGTATGATTGCAATGACTGCCACCAGAAGAAGGCTCATAAAAATAGTATGACTGTGTGGTTCAAGTGTCAGACAAGCACCTTGAAATGTTTCGGTGCAAACTGATATCCAGCCATGAGTCTTTGGATCAGATGCAGCCATACTGGATGATTATGAAACGGAAATAAAATGGGGGTCAGCTCATCAGCTCTGCAAGGACAGGCTTCCAAAGATGTCAAAGCGTGGATAAGTGAATTTATTGTAGCAAGGTAAATGAAGCTATTAGGAAAGTATCCAAGGCTTTTATAGGTGAGATCTGTTTATGGGGAAACCCAGGATCAGACTTTTGTGTCCTTTTCATCATTCACACTATGTACCATAACAGGTTAAAAGCTACTCTTTGACCATAGAAAAGATGGTTTCTACCTGCTTCTCATTTTGGCAATGAACTGGTCTAGTAGCATAAGAAATGCCCTAAAAACAACCAACAAAATTTCAGATAAAGTTTTAAAGCATTCCTATTTTAAATAAAAATAAAAATAAAAAATTCCTATTTTTAAAAAAAATAAAAATCCTCACATGGGGAGGATTTCATTTGAAGGCCCGGTTTGAGCAAACATCTCCCAATTCAGGACTCAGAAGTCTCTGTTAAGATTCTTGATATTTCTTCTCTATTTAGCTGTCTCACACTTCCTTTATAAATTATTTTTTTCTGAAATTTTTCAGGCAATCGTTTAACTTCCTTGTATTGATGTATTAGGTCCATTGACCTCTGTTGGCCAAGTCAGTCTGACAACAGAAATAATGAAGAGCATAGGACAAAAATAACAAAAGGGAGGAATAAGACCAGGAGTGAATTACTGTCATCTTACATTAGATACTGTGATGTTCCTAGTCACATCTAGTCATCTCCAAGGATGACTGCATGATGCTGCATTGGATGAACCAATATTTAGATTCGAAAGATGTAGGAGGCCTCACATTTTAAGTTTTTATTGTGTAGGATATTTGGTAACACCTAAAAGCATCAGAAGAAGGATATATAAGTTTTTAGGAGCCAAAATAGAACCTGGACAAAATTATACTTGATCTCATTTATATGTAAGCTTAGGTAAAATGGCTAAATAAAGTTCATATGACTCCTTGCCATTTATTTAGTAATTTCCACCTACAATAACTCCCTTTTTACAACTCTGTAAATCCCTTAATACGGGGTAGAGTCGGGGTGACTGGATGGAGCTGAGCATTTACTGAACGGATGCCCTTCCTGACGCCATGTGGGACTTCGCAGCAGATATGTTTTCTTTGCACCCTAGGAGAGAAACATCTGCCACGGCCTAGGATCGAACTCTCAACCTTCCAAGTGGGAGGTGAGTGTCTTCCCCACTAGGCCACCACAGCAGCTCACTTTCCACCTACAATCAAATTGAAAATAACCATCTGCCAGCACCTTTCCCAGAGGCTCCGAGTACGACGTGCAGCCTTGAGGTCTCGTGTTTGGCGTCTTAGGTGGCGCCTGGTGTGGAACTTGAAACGTGACATAAGGCCACTAGGATAGATGAATCTGAAGTCTTCCCACCATTTGATGTAACGGAACTAAACAAATCACATGTGGGATAATCATGGTCTTTTGCCTTCTCCAGCACCCCTATCCAACAGAGGATGAGAAGAGACAAATAGCAGCACAGACAAATCTCACACTGTTGCAGGTCAACAACTGGTAAGTAAAGGTCACTTTCCCCCCCTCAAGTGTAATAATCATATGCAAAAGTGTGTTGCCTGCCCAAGACAGAACTGCTTTCTTTATTTGGCTGATCCCTTATGTAGCATCCAAAGTATGGATCAGTATCACAAGTTTATTGGCTTATTTAAATCTATGCAGATCTATAAATCACGCCTACCATTAAAGTAGCAGAACTTCAGAATTCATCTCAGATCTGTCTGCTGATGGGGACAGACTGCTGATGCTTCTAAGGTTCACGGGATGTCCCTTCTACTGTCCTCTTTGAAATGGACTTGGTTTAGACTTCTTTTCCATTAAAAAAATGTCCCTCTGCAAAGTCTGGCCAATGTCCACTTGTCTTTTTGAAGTGCCTTGAAAATGATGTCAAATCAGATGGCTTTAAAACATCCCTTTTTTCTTTCAGAGTTTGCGGTTCCCTCAGAAAAAAACTGTTTAAAAGGCCATGAATAACGGGACTAAAACCATTGGGTGGTATCTGAAGCCAAAATGGATGGGGACCACCCATTTCCTGACTGATATTTCTTTTGTTTTCCCTTTTTGAAAGCTGTTATCCCCCTCTCAAGCTCCTTGGAAAGGTTTGAGCCCCTTAGAGGTCTCAACAAATATTTCAGTCTAATTTATTTATTGAGCTTTAAATTAGTCCAGAGGCCTTTATGAAAAACTTCAATCTTCATTCTGGCTTTTGACGGAAGTGAATATCTGTGGCTTAGGGTTGAACTGTGGGGTCCTTGAAGCTCTCCGAGCTTGGTGGTTTTCTTGCAGATGTTTCATGACCCAACTAGGTAACATCAGTAGTAAGGTGCTGATGTTACCTTGTTGGGTAATGAAACATCTGCAAGAAAACCACCACGTTCACAGAGTACCAAGAACCCTTGTTGTTGTTGTTAGTTACTAAGTCGTGTCCGACCCATCGCAACCCCATGGACAATGTTCCTCCAGGCCTTCCTGTCCTCTACCATCTTCTGGAGTCCATTTAAGCTCAAGCCTACTGCTTCAGTGACTCCATCCAGGCACCTCATTCTCTGTCGTCCCCTTCTTCTATTGCCCTCAATCTTTCCCAGCATCAAGCTCTTCTCCAGTGAGTCCTTCCTTCTCATTAGGTGGCCAAAGTATTTGAGTTTCAACTTCAGGATTTGGCCTTCTAAAGAGCAGTCAGGGTTGATCTCCTCTAGGACTGACCGGTTTGATTGCCTTGCAGTCCAAGGGCTTCACAAGAACCCTACACTCTGGTTTTTGTTATAGTTTTAAAAATGTGAAGGAAAAACTCAACATCCCCAGTTATATCAATAAGATTAAAGTACCATGACCTTTAGTTTATTTTTATTTTTTAATCTCTTTCTGTAAAAATACTGGATTCCGGAGGCCGTGACATGTGGCAATTCTAGTCAGGATAAAATTTAGATATGATCAGAATTGCCTGTAAGATTCCAGCCGCTTTGTGTGGATTTGACAATCAAAAGTAAGCAAACTTGTAGTCATTTCTGTCTGGACAAAACCTAATTTGAAGGGCAGGTCTGATTATCTGAGTAGTACTGAATATTTTAATCCTTCGAAAGACCCTTGCATAAATCTGATTTTTAAATGATGATGTTTCAAGCTTTGCATTAATATTAGGATTTACTTGTGGTTAGACATGCAGAGGCTTGTGGGGTAAAGTTTCTTTTTTTACGCGACTGTAAATGCTTCCTTTGTATTGGCTGATATTTGTGGCATCTGTTGGCTTACGCTGGTATTTATGGACATTTGCAAGACAGATTTGTTTTCTTCTGAGGAGGAAAAATCAGCTCTTTGTGAGCGGCAAATTCCTTACATTCCAGATCTACATTAATTCAATAGCACCCTCTGCCGGTTACTTATAATCAGCAATGAGCAGCACTGAAAATAGTGCTTATAGAAACTTGTAGTATATAGAATAGAATAGAATAGAATAGAATAGAATAGAATAGAATAGAATAGAATAGAATAGAATAGAATATTGAATGGAGAATAGAATAGAATAGAATAGAATAGAATAGAATAGAATAGAATAGAATAGAATAGAATAGAATAGAATAGAAGGGATCTTGGAGGTCTTCTAGTCCAGCCCCCTGCTCAAGCAGGAGAACCTATACCATCTCAGACAGGGGAATGTCCAGTCTCCTCTTAAAAATCTCCAGTGGTGGAGCGCCCACGATTTCTGGGGGCAAGCTGTTCCACTGGTTGATTGTACTCACTGTATTTATATCTGCTTTTCCTTAAAGAGCTCTTCTAGATGAAAATGAAAACATAAAAGTCCTGTGCACAGCTTGAGAAGATAATCCCATCGTCAGAAAAACTCAGGAGCCCATCAAAGTAAATAGTGTTGAGATAGGTGGATAAATACCCAAGGTAGTCTTCATTTAGCGACTGCCTTGCTTAGCAACTGTTCGCAATAACGACAGTCATAATTTACAACCGATCCTTGCATTTACGAATTTTGTAAGTCTGCAAAGCAGAGAAAAGCTGAAGTCAGATCATAAGCGCAGTTGCAGTTTTCAACTTCTTCGACTTCAGAAGCGACTTCTTCACTTAATGACCAGATTGCCAGTCCCAACAGTGGTTGCTAAACAAGGATGACTTACATAAACAGGAATAGGAATAATTTGATTTGGTATATAAGCCACATCTATTGCTCCCGTCAAGCAAGAAGAATCAGATGAAATTATCTTGAAATTTACTTTTTGAGTTCAGTTTAATATGAATGTTTGTCTCATTTTCTCTTAAATATAAGCTTGCCATACTGCCTTTCTTAAACAATAAAAGCCCTTGGTGCTCAAGAGAATAAAGGAATGGAGAAGCCACTCAGTGTGGCCTCATACCAAGAGATGGGTAGCATATAAAATGAATAAACAAATAAATGCAGCAGTTAACATTTGATTTTAATATGCCATCTTCTTTCTGGGAAGGTTCATCAATGCCCGGCGACGTATCTTACAACCTATGCTTGATGCTAGCAATCCAGATCCAGCCCCCAAAGCCAAGAAAATCAAATCCCAGCACCGGCCAACCCAGAGATTCTGGCCCAACTCCATTGCAGCTGGGGTTCTGCAGCAGCAAGGAGTCAACCCCGGGACTAACCCTGATGGTAAGAATCACTGGATCAAAGCGACGTTTGTGTCTCTTTCTAATTGAGGTCTAATCTCCGTCTGTTACATGTGTTGAGGCTGGGACTTCAAAAGCCAAACCAGTTGGCAATTCTGTCTAGATAGCGACAGACTGGAGTTCCAGATATTCTCAGATTTGGAATAATCTTAGCCTTGAATTGGACCACAACCTGGACTAGAATAACATAAATACCAATAAAGAGACCCAGTGCAACTCAATGGGGGAGAGAAAAGATAAGTGAGCAGATTCAGTCTGCTATCTAGTTATTGACTATTGATGGACAACTTAAGCCTCTGGATTCACTTGAATGGAGTCCCTGTGGATTTGACTCCACTAGTTGTTGCCAACCTATAGGGCAGTGATGGCGAACCTTTTAGAGACTGAGTGCCCAAACTGCAACCCAAAACCCACTTATGCATCGTCGAGTGCCGGGTGGGTGTGGCCCATTGGCTGGGTGTGGCCCATTGGCTGGGCGTGGCTGCGGTGGTAACGGCAGACTGGGTGGGACTAAAAAGTTCAATCAATCAATTCCAACTTTGCAAGATCTTTTTTTTCCCGCGAGAAGTTGAAATTGACTGATTGAACCCTTTTTTTTTTTTGCACACGGTGGCGGAAGCCTAAAGCGAAAAGGTTTTATAAACCCAGCTGAAGGCCTAGGACTGGGGCGACGGTGCGCGTGCCCACAGAGAGGGCTCTGAGTGTCGCCTCTGGCACCCGTGCCATAGGTTCACCACCACTGCTATAGGGGGTGGTGCTCATCCCCATTTCAAGGCCATTAAGCCAGCACTGTCTGAAGACATTTCCCCGGTCATGTGGCCAGCATGACATCATGCAGCACTGTTGCCTTCCCACCGAAGTGGTGCCTATTTATCTATTCACATTTGCATGCTTTCAAACTGCTAGATTGGCAGGAGCTGGGAGCTCACCCCGTCCCGTGGGATGGGAGCTCACCCCGTCCCGTGGCGCTCGGGTCTTGAACCAGGGTTGCTGGCTTTCCAGCCGACAAGCAAAGAATCTTAACCACTGAGACACCACACCAAAAAGAACCTTCCAAAAAGATAATTGAAAGTTGAACTCTGTAAAGCATTCCGTTCTCCATGTAATACCCTGGAGAAAGGATTGGTCTTACACACACATTAAATTACGCAGTGAACTTCTTGCAGCCCTAAGGTACCGCTGGATGACCATTTTGTTAAGCTTCTCAATAAGGACTCTCTGATCAGCATATTATTGCAGGATACGAAGTAAGCAAATAGCACTTGCACTTCTGGCTGCAGAACTTAACCGAATTTAGATCTGGATGGATGGGTGGCTTTGACATGGTCATAGCCCGCTTTGCAGAAAAAAGCTCAACGGGGGCTTTTTCTCTCTCTGATTCTATGTACACAACAACTTCTTAATTACAGTAGAGGTAACTTACAACAGTTTGTTTATTGACCATTTGAAGTTACAACTGCTTTGGGGAAAAAAATGAGTTATGACTGTTTTTCACACTTTCAACGGTTGCAACATCCCCATGATCACATGATCAAACTTCAGATACTTGGCAACTGACTTGTACTTATGATGGTTATGCAGTGTCCCAGGGTCACATGATCCCCTTTTGCAATCTTCCGACAAGCAAAGTCAATGGAGAAGTCAGATTCACTTAAAAACCAGGTTACTAACTTAGCAACTTTGGTGATTCCCTTAACAACTGTGGCAAGAAGAGTCATAAGATGGGGCAAAAGTCACCTTACCCAGTGTCATGTTCAGCATCAGAAATTTTGGGCTCAATTTTGGTCATAAGTCAAGACTACCTGCACCTGATAGTAGGCGGTCAAGTATCTCTCTCATAGAGGTGGAAGATGACTCTTTGGAGCAGGGGTAGGCAACCTTGGCTCTTTTATGACTCGTGGACTTCAACTCCCAGAATTCCTGAGCCAGCCATGCTGAGGGGAAAGGGAGAGGTTTCTAAGCTGAGCCATGCTGGCTCAGGAATTCTGGGAGTTGACGTCCACGAGTCATAACAGAGCCAAGGTGGCCTATCCCTGCTTTAGAGGCAAAAGATTTTGCTTCGCTTTGTGTATTATCTCTTTTACTTTATTTTTGTTAAACTTAACACATAAATCAACCCCCCTGCAATTGGGACCTTACTTCTCAGTGGGTTCTGGGATGTTTGCCCCGAAGTCATATCCAACAGCATCGTTCCAGTGCTTATCCTATCAACTCTTTGCCTTTCCTTCTAGGCTCCATCAATATGGACAACCTCCAAACTCTCTCCTCAGATAACGCCACTATTGCTATGCAGCAAGCCATGATGGCGGGTCACGATGACTCACTAGATGGGACAGAAGAGGAGGATGAAGATGAAATAGAAGAGGAGGAAGAGGAAGAAGAAGAGGAGGAGGAGGAACTGGAAGAGGATGCTGAGGAGCTCCAGACAACTAATGTTAGTGACCTTGGCTTGGAGCAGAGTGACTCACTCGAGTAGTGGATTATAGCAATGGTGGAACAGTCACCGAGTGGAAAACGGTTGAACCTGCTTGCAAAATTGTAGAGAGCGCCTGAGAGCGCCTGAGAGCGCCTGAGCACTTCCCTTTAACAATATGATTCAGATTCAACAATAGAACCCTTTCTGGATGTCCTACTTGACCTGCATTCAGTTGCAAGAATGGATGTGGAAGCCCACTGAACATCTGCCAAGGGTTCCAAGCTGGTTATTTAAGTGAAGGACACACGTTTACAAGGCACATATTGTGACTAGTTTCTTCCCCACTCTCCCCCGCCTTTGTTTTTGATAACCACGACAACAAAAGTGTTTTTAGAGTAAGCTGTTTTCTGTATGACTGAATGTTTTATGGAAGTTCTAATTCAATGCCTTTTTTTTGGTGACATGCGGTTCAGAGGCACGGCTGTTTTCATTTTCACTGCTTTTATGAGAGATTTATAGATGCCAAGAAGAAGAAGAAGAAGAAGAAGAAGAAGAAAAAAAGATTGACCGTTTTTACAAAAGGAAAAGAAAAACTAGAAGGGAATGATTTATAGAAATGTAGGTAGGGGGGAGGGAAAACCAAACATTTACAAATGGGCAGAAATTCAGCAAAGTTGAGAGTTGAGTGCCCTTTGCAAGTGGGTGTCTTGTGAGTTTTGCAGCTACAAGAAGGCATACGGACTCAGGTGAAGCCCCAAGCCATAGGTCTGTGCTTTGCAATCAGTGTGACAAATAGGTAACACCCTGTGGCCAGAATCCTTTTTAGAGAAGCATCGTGTTTGCTTTCTGAGTGGAACGTCATGACGTTTTAATATCCCAAGTTGTTGCCTTGGTACAGCGTGTGATATTAGCTAACCAGAAAGAATGTTTAGAGGCTCGCCAATGCAGATTTCATTGGTTGAATATAAGCATGTTCCAAATTCTAACATTTGCAAAGCAGAAAGGGATCCGTGGCAGAGAGAATTCAAACAGAGATAAGCAGAACAGCTATCCAATGGGGTGCAAGAAATCATATTTTCACAATCTCATTTCCCCGGAACTGCTCTCATCCCTTTATGTTGCTCTCTAGCCCACAAACTCTCATATGAAACAGCATATTACAGACATTTAGGAATGGGATTCGTAATAACGTTCCCCACTAGCAATCACTACTAATCATAGGTTAAGCCTACAAGCAGAGGCTGATTTAAATCTCCTTGTGGGCATTATCCCACTACAGTGAATTCATTGCCTACCACAGGGCGTGAAAAGTAGATATGGGGTCCCCCAACATTTTTCAAGCTGTGAGCCATTGGGGATTTTGAAATTAAGGAAGGAACCCTCTTGAGAACATGGTGGACAAGCTCCCTACAGACAGAGTGTCAGAAGATCTCTGACACAGAAGGGGCATCACCTTTTGTGAAACACTGATTGACCAGAATGCCATCTGCCACCCTCATCCTAAGAGAGATGGTGTCTACAATATCCCATTTACATTTATCTTTGAAAGTCAGGCATCCTTCCAAACAAGACACTGAGTAGCAGCCGCCCATCATGTGCTAAGAATGCTAAAGGGCCCACAAGCGTACTTAGAAATACAAACATTGCTGGTGGCTTCGCTTTGCATCACGCCTGTTCCTCGTTTATTTATTTTTTTAAAGTAAAACAAATCAGATAGTATAAGTAAGAGCTTAGCAGGAAACCCAGGGGAGAATCAGGTGATGCTTTCCATCTGGCTGCAGGCATATTTTTTTTTAAAAAAAATGACTGTAGTATCCATCAATATTGGGAATTGTTGACCCCGAACTCTTCCTTTTGTGGGAATGTTTTCAAGCAATTTCCATCTGGCAGCTCTACCATAAACACTGGCCTTAAGAATGCTTTTGTGTGTGTGTAATGCAGTTTTCTCCCTTTAAAAAGCCACCGGTTCAAGAAACAGATGTTTTCATGCCGAAGGACAGCCCTAGAAATATCACTATAAAAGGCTCAGTCAGTTGAGTGAAGACAAACGATGTCCACATCACCTCAGACCACAGGTGCAGCTCTAAATATACCCCACAAAGGAATCTGTGCATGAAGCTATTCCTTATTGCTTCTGCAACACACACACACACAAAAACCACATGGATGCTGTATGTTTTTTGCCAGGAAGGCATGGACAATTACCTGCCAGAGAAATGATGCTTCTAATAGACCAAAAAAAAAAATGGCATGGGGGGCACAGTGGTTTGAATGCAGCATTGCAGGCTAACTCTGCCCACTGCCAGAAGTTCGATCCTGGCTGGTTCAAAATTGACTCGGCTTTCCATTCTTCTGAGGTCAGTAAAATAAGCGCCCAGGTTGTTGGGTGGTGGACAATATGCTGACTCTGTAAACTGCTCAGAGAGTGCTGTAAAGCACTGTGGGGCGGTATATAAGTCTAAATGCTCTTGCTATTGCTATTTTTGTAAGCATGTCTCTGTTACAGTTGGAACATGCATCCAGAGTGCAGTTTCCTCTGGTAGGTTAGATGTGGAACCCCTTCAAAATGATCAAGGTCCCCCCTTTGTTCTGCAGCCGTGAAGGCTTGGCATTTTGAGAGTAGGCTGGGCACCGTTGTGACTTCTGGCAGATCTTTGTATCATGAGATAAGAAAGGGCAAAAAGGAAATGGGGGCCAATGTCCTAATAAGGAATAAAGGCAATGTGTGCGATGAATGTTCAGTATTTGCCAACTCAGCACCGTCTTAGGTGAAGCATCGTCTTAGGCAGACCGAAACCTCTCGCTCAATCTCTCTTCCTTCAAACATCCCCTCGGAGGCAGTTTGTTGATTTCATTTTGTGCGTGGTGCTCAGGAAAATGTCTCCAATGTGCAAAAAATGAAAGGGAGCGAGATCTCTACCGACCTATGAGCTACAATCTGTGGGACTCTGGCTTAGGAAATACACACTGTAACTCCATTTTCCTGACATGAATGTAATTTTCCCACCCAAGGGGTGGAGGGGAATGCTGACAATGTTTTCGACAGAAAACTAAGGCACCAATAATTTTATTTATGACCTGTGTGTTTTCGAACAATCTGATTCCTTTTTTCTGATGCTGTAATAAGTGGGGCAGAAAGTTTTGCCCTCTAGGGGTTTGTCTTCCTTGCTGGCCAAAACTTGTCCAATGGTTCATACACTTTCCTATACTGCAGCCCCCACCCCCCCAAATTATGAACTTCCAAGATGAAAGTTTTTGCCCATTTTACTATCCAACAACAGGTCCAAGGGTCAGTTCTAAAAATTCCTTTCTCTTTGCTCACAAAGCACATTTATCATCTACTCCTTCTTTTGACTTTTTAAAGCAGACGTGTCCAACCCTAGCAACTTTCAGACTTGTGGACTTCAACTCCCAGAATTCCTCAGCCAGGATGGATGGATGGATGGATGAGGAATTCTGGGAGTTGAAGTCCACAGGTCTTAAGCTTGCCACGGTTGGACCCTCCCCCATGTTTTAAAAAGTTGAGAGCTTTTTAAATCAATCACTTTACATTAAGGGTTGAATCGACAAAAAAATCCTTGAGAATGTATTGGAGTATCAGTGGGCATAAGCCAAGCCCCCCCCCTTCCATTATGGATCCTGATATGGCATGAATGTAATATGTAATTTCATAGAAAATTCATTGTAATTTAGTATTAATTCATGTCCATTTATGATAAAGTGCTACCAGATGAGGTTTTCCAGTTGTATTTCCTTGCATTTTTTCCCATGTTCTTATTAAAAAGGTTTAGGAATAACAGACACGGAGAGTCTAAATCCACTGCCATGAATTCTCTCCCTGGTGTTGTATCTCAGCTGTATCTCAGCCAGATGGTCGTATCTAAAGAGGTTCTCCATTCTTAAAGGTCTCAGAAGGCATTACCCATCTTCAGTTATGTTCACTTTATAGAAATGAATCTATGCAAACCCAGCATTTCCTTTCCTGCTACCCTGCTCTCCTTGTTGTGATTGTCTTATTTATTTTTTGAACAACAACACGCTCATAACTGGGTTAATCTTAACCGTGGTTTGAAAAAAGACAACTGCCAAACACAACTGAAGGATCATAGCCACAATGAGTTAATTCTTGCAGTTAAACCTGGAAATAAAAGTTTCCCATCTTCTCCTTGCGTTGCAGCCATATTAGAAGAGCAAACACAAAAGTGTGGGCATGTATGCCCACTCTCTGCTCAAGCTGATTCTCATCATGCTAAGCCCAGAGTAACCATGACATCTAATTGCAGCTTGTAGGTCAGCATACTCTTAGATAAAAACATTCTTCTCACTGGGTTAATTGTTAGTTTAAGAGCTCTATAGATGAAGAGTAGTTACATAGATACTGCTGATGCAAATGCCTGTCCTGCTGTACACTCCTTGACATAGACTGCCTCAATATACTTTGCACCAACTAGCCCTATGTACATTCTGACACTCTTTGCCTAACTAACTTGCTCTGACTGAGGAAGATGCTTGGATGAGTAGCGAAACGTCTCAGACTAGCAAAAAAAAATTAGTCCGTGGTGTTTTTTTTTTTAACTTTAGACACATTTGCCTAGATGATTGAGTCTTCATTGACATATTGCATCACCTTTTTTGGGGGGGGAGAGAACCCCTGAAGTTGGTGTGGCAAGAGTTGGTACATTCTAACGACTCTCTGCCTAACTAACTTACTCTGACTGATGAAGATGCTTGGATGAGCAGCAAAATGTTTCAGACTAGCAAAAAATTAGTCCGGTTGCCATGATTCAACCTTTAGACACCTTTGCCTGGATGACTGAGAGTCTTCGTTGACATATTGCAACACATTTTGAGGAGGAAACCCTTAAGGTTGGTGTGGCAAGAATTGGTACCTTTTAACAACTCTCTGCCTAACTAACTTGCTCTGACTGATGAAGCTGCTTGGATGAGCAGCGAAACATCTTAGATGAGCCAAAAAATTGGTCCAGTTGCCGTGATTCAACCTTTAGAAACCTTTGCCGGGATGATTGAGAGTCTTCATTGAGTAGCCCTATTGTTGCATTGTTGAGTACACAAAATCTCACCACTGTTTAGAGCATAGCCTTGTATAGAGCCTTAGGAATAGGCATATGCCAGCATCAAGGTCAGAGCCAGACATAATAGCTAAAGCTACAGTCTACCTGGACAAATCACCCCAAAGAAGACACAAACAGATACACATTTACAGAGTACATCAAGGAAAGACTGGACCAAAATTGAAGATGTAGCTTCATCAGTATACAGTGTTAAAGGGAGCATTAATTGAAGCAAGGAAGGTGGTACAAGCATGGCACTATTGTGATCCAAACTGTGATGGACACAAAGTCTTATGCCTACTCCCAGCTTATTTTCAGAGGCAGAGGCAGAATTAATCTCTAAGAAGGATGTCGCTTCCCATAATGAAAAGGCCCTACCAGGTGCACTTCACAGAGTGCCCTAAGAAAGGTCAACCATAGCAGGATGCATGCAGTACTTCATTACAGCTTTGTTTTACGATGCCATAAATTTTGTCAAATCTTTTCCTGGGGGCTGGCAGGAGAGGTAGCGAAAGCTTAGTGTACAGCTTCCTTTGGGATCTTCAGCTAGGACTCATTAAAAATTAGCCTGCTCATTTGCATATCTGCTGTTTGGAAGCCAGCATGAATATGCATAGAAGCTCTTCGGCTGGCCTCTTCAGAATTTTTTTTTGTTGTTGTTTAAAGATGCATCAATAAATGGATATAACCTTGTGCAACAACAGGCATACAGCTTCATTTGATAATACTAGAGCAGCAGGGAAGCAAGGTTGGAATCAAGAAGACAATAAAACACAAATAGCAAACCATCATTTTTCTCATCTCAGAAAGCTAAATAATGCAACACAGTTTTCTCTCCAGTAAGGAGCACAATTCTGAATTTGTATTTCATTTGGGTCCATTACTGCTTAGTAATGACTGTCACTTCTGCTTGCTCAGTCTGCAGCTTGGTCTCTTAACTCAGGTTCCCAACTGGGGGTGCTCACACCACCTGGGGGTTTGAGACAATATCCCAGGGGGTGCAAAAACTTGGGTTTTCAAAATTATAGTGTATATACATAACGTGTTGCTATTATTTTGAACTTTTGTAAGGGGTGCGAGAATATATTGGAAGCGCTCTAGAGGCACGGGGTATACAAAAGGTTGGGAGTCGCTGCCTTAACTAGTCAAACTATCCTGCTGTGTTTCCTAAAACAAAAAAAAGTTAGTAGTCTGCAGTGATACTAAACCATGGCTTGTGTTTTGTTTTGACTTTTGGCTACCTTTTTTCTCTTCCCACTCTACTTGTTGTATAGCACAAAGAGTAAGCTTAGATCTCCGATAAAAGAGTTCTTGTGAACAAGGTAAGATAAATCAGAGGGCTTTGAGAATGTTGCTGGATAACTCAAGGACAATATTTTCCTGGAGGAAATGGTATAGAGATAACATAGGAAAGAGAAACAGAGAGAGAGGGGGAGAGAGGGGAGAGAGAGAGAGAGAGAGAGAGAAAATAGTGCATGAAAAAAGTGCATGGAGACAAATCCCTTGTCTTTCTCCGTCTCTGTCTCTACAGTTTATCTACACAAATCACCCCAAAGAAGATACTAATGGATAAAGATTTACAGAGTAAATCAATGAAGGATTGGAACAAAATCAAAGTTGCAGCTTCATCAATATACGATGTTAAAGGGAGCATTAATTGAAGCAAAGGTGATACAAGCAATGTCGCTATTGTGGTCCAAACTGTGATGGCCACACAATCTCATGTCTACTCAGGGCTTATTTTGAGAGACAGAATTAATCTCTAAGAAGGATGTTACTTCCTATAATGATACTTCTCTCTCTGTCTGTCTCTCTCTGTCTCTCTCTCTCTGTCTCTCTCTCTCTCTCTCTCTCTCTCTCTCTCACACACACACACACACACACACACACACACATTTGGACATGCCAGTCTTCTTTGGAAGGCTGGGGGAATGAGAAGATGCTCCTTGTCCACCCAAACAGACCATGGTACCCAGTAGGAGCAATAAGTTCTTCACTCAGATTCCACACAAGGTGGAAGTGAAGCAGCTTCCTTGATTCCCAGGCTCTGTCTTTCTAGCTTTCCTACAAGAGTAAATGTTGGATTGGTTTCTTTTCACACTGATACCGATGAATCTATTTTCTGCACAGCACGTGCGAAATGAAATCATCTTTCTACCCAGATCGAGATTCATTTGTTTGTAGCATTATTAAGGAAATGTAGACTTTCCTCCCTCCCAAACTATTCAAAAAACAGGACAACTTTTTTAATTAAATGAAAGTTTTATTTCAGTATTCAAATTAGTCTCATAACTGCTTGGGGAAAGGCAAACGGAGAGTACACGGAATAAAGCAACGCCCGCCTTCCAAGATGGAGGTGGACAAGGGAGAGAGGAGGGGAGGAGAGGAGAGAGGGGGGGGGCGAGCATCCCTTGCCTTCACTCATGCATTCAAATGTTGACTATGACTAGAAACCGACAGTGAAGGATAGAGTTTCACTCGTATTTAACCCCAGTTAATGCTATACATTTTAAATACACAATTCAGAAGTGTACATTATGTCATGCAGTCCCGTGATGGAATGACACCCTGGCCTGATCTCCTGTTGACTTCATGATGCTCAGAATGCAGAGCTTAGGTAGGGCAGAGAACTGGAAGAAGGGAAAGAAGAAGAGGGAAAGAAAGGAAAATCAGTGTATGGAATTCTTCAGTCAAATGGATTCTGGCTTTACCTGCTAAGAGCACAAACTTAATAAAAACTCATTAAAATGTTCTCAATGGTTCGGTTCTTTAGTTGCAATGGCTGAAAACAATCACTGTTGAGTATCTTCTTCTTCCACCTGCTTCTACCTGTATATCTTCTACCTACTTTTCTTCAAATTAGTACAAGGAAATTAGAGTCATCCAGACTCAGTACCCAGGTGCACAAATTCAGGCAATGTACACTAATGAGAAAATACCAGGATCCCTTGCATACACACCCGATAGCAGACAGCTGAACTCTTTTTATTGCTGTTGATCTCTCAAAATGTCCCAATTATATGTGGCTTTTTTAAAAAAAAAAATCTAGTTTAATTTCAATACTCCATTCCCAAGCCTAAACTTGGGTGAAACTATTATTCTTATTTCAATGAATAGCTACTTTAAGCTGTGGGGTCCTTGATGCTCTCTGAGCTTAGTTGTTTTCTTGCAGATGTTTCATTATCCAACTAGATAATATCATCATTGCTAGAAGGGAATGGGGTTATTATTATTATTAATTTTATTATTATTATTATTATTATTAATTTAATTTCTATACCGCCCTTCTCCCGCAGGACTCAGGGCGGTGCACAGCATATTAAAAACAGATACAATAACAATATACAAAAATAAAAACCCTTCTAAAACCAAATTAAAAACCAAATATTAGAGGCTGTGTTCCAATTAAAATTATACTTAAAATCGTCCCTAAATAAAANGGAGGAGGAGGAGGAGGAGGAGGAGGAGGAGGAGGAGGAGGAGGAGGGGGAGGAGGGAGGACGACGACGGCTGTGGGGTCCTTGGTTTTTTTTGAGTTTGATTGTTTTTTTTTAATTTTTATTTATTCCTTTTTCACTATACAACAAAAATAAAAATAAAAATACATTTTTTTTCCTTAACAGTATGTTAAGTATGTTGGTTGTTTTCTTGCAGATGTTTCATTACCCAACTAGGTAACATCATCACTGCTAGGAGGGAGTGGGTTTGCTCTCAACAGCCTAATCAGGGACCAACCAAGAAAAATACAATATTCCTACCAATACTGAGAGGGCAAGCCACTTGTATGTAAATACAAGTGGCTTGTATTTACATACAAACACTAAACAGCTCTTCTATGGTGAGCTGTCTCAAGGAAAGCGATCGCACGGGGGACAAAAGAAGCGATACAAAGACACACTGAAAGCATCTCTCAAGTCCCTGGATATCGACACCATCTCTTGGGAATTTTTGGCGCATGATCGACCAACATGGCGTACCCTGGTTTACCAGGGTTGCCAGACATATGAACACAGGAGGACAATCTTGGCCCAAGAGAAGCGAGCACTCCGTAAAGCCAGAGCTGCAAATGCTGAAGCAACAGTGTCCACATTTCTCTGTTCAGTATGTGGCAGAACATTCCATGCTAACATCGATCTCATCAGCCATCTACGGACACACCGTTGATGGCCCACAATCCACAAGATGTCAAGGTCTTCATCGAAATCGATGGACGAACAACACACAAATACACTCCCTGTTTGGGTCATGGAATCTCTGCAATAAAACAACCAAGCTCAGAGGGCAAAAAAATCAGTGATCTGCAGGAAAAGATCAGCAGGTCAAGCTTGTTTGCCTAACAAATGGATGGCAGATCTGCAGGGAAATCACAACAAAGTTACACACCGAGGGAAAAGAAACTTGGCAAACTAGTTATTGCTAAGCATCCCAGTAGGAGGGCTAGGAGACTGAAGGACATAAGTCAGTGTTTCTCAACCTTGACAATTTTAAGGCATGTGGACTTCAACTCCCAGAATTCCACAGCCAGCAATGCTGGCTGTGGAATTCTGGGAGCTGAAGTCCACATGCCTTAAAATTGTCAAGGTTGAGAAACACTGACATAAGTGAAGGACATAAGATGCAGAAAGACGTAAATTCTTTTGGCATCTTTTTTTTTTTTTTTTAGCCTCTGTAGAAAAAGCTACACATTCCGTGCCAGGCACCTCCAGTGAAAGCTTCAGATATTAATTTTAAAAAAAAGCTAAGAAAGACTTCTGCATTGCAGAATAATTTCTGCTGAATCAAGGAGATAATAATATTAGTCAACGTGGACAGACCATCTAACTCTGCAAAAAACTGATTATTCTGTTCCAACTGTTACCTTTTAAAATGTAGTCAGTGAGCAGCGTAGGGACTTTTTCGTTGTCTTCCTTCATTGCAAAGAGAACTGAGGAAAGAAGTTGGGACAAAAATCATTAGTGAGTCCTGTTGAGGAGTTACTTGTTTCTCTTTTTAACCTTCCCGGGCACCCAGACATCAACAATTCCTCTGCCACAGTTGACCGTCACCTTCCACAATCAATCCTCATATTCCAAGATAGCACCCCATCAGTTCCAGATATGGAAGCAAAAACAGGCTTTATGCTCAGATCTGCTGCAACATGGCAATACTTCAGACTAGGTCACCTGAGTCACAGGGGCTAATTTGGCAAGACCAGAATCACGGAACCCCTAGCTCTGGCTTGTAATTACAAATCACTTTGAGGAATAGGCCTATTTTGGCAACATTTGACAGTTAAGATGAATCCTTCATTTGTTGGTTCTGTCTGAAGAAGATGTAAATTTCAGAGTTGCACAGAATCACACAGAAGGCCCTAGCCCAGTGGTTCTCAACCTTTTTAATGCCGCGACCCCAACCGGTTGTAAGTCGAGGACTAAACCGGTCGTAAGTCGAGGACTACCCAATCGGTCGTAAGTCGAGAACTTTCCCTGCCCGGGAGCGCCGCGCATGCGTGGTTCCGCCCCCTGCGCCGGCCGAGGCGTAGCTGGCAAGCGGCAGAGACGGAGCAGGCCGACCACCAGCTGGCCCAGCCCAAGGGAGGTAAGGCACCCGCCGGAAAAGGGGAAAAAATGGCGGACAAAAAAAATGGCGGACAGCCTTGCTTGGTGACCCCCATGAAATGGTCGATCGACCCCAAATGGGGTCCCAACCCACAGGTTGAGAACCACTGCCCTAGCCAGTGTTTCTCAACCTTGATAATTTTAAGGCATGTGGACTTCAACTCCCAGAATTCCACAGCCAGCAATGCTGGCTGTGGAATTCTGGGAGTTGAAGTCCACATGCCTTAAAAATGTCAAGGTTGAGAAACACTGCGTAGACGCCTTCAAGCAAGCAGAAACACATTTTACCCATTTTAGACAGGCATACCAAAGTTAGAAACGACTGACACAAAAAGAGAGAGGAAAGAGACCACTAGGGCAAGTTGCCCTGTGTTTTGCACAGTTGTGGGTCTGTCTGCTGCCTGGCGTTAATGTGACAGTTACCAGATGTTGATTAGGGAAAGCTATTAAAGGCCTGAGCTGTACAGAGATTCGTGATCCCATCAATGTTCTTAGCACAATGGTTAAATTCAATCACTGGCAAAACATAACACAGCCTTCTCTGCTCTTGGACTCTTAGCTATGGGGGAGGACTGCAAACACACTTCTGGCCTTGTGGGTTGTTGGTTGGGAATTCTGGAAGCAGCAGTCCCCAGCAGATTAAATTTGGCTTTTAGAATAGGACATGCGCAATGAACTCAATCCAGAATTAGGAAAGGCTGCAATTTTCTAATGTGGAATGTTGCTCTGATTCCTTCTTCATTCAGACCAAAGTGCCAATCCAGACTCTCAGACAAATTCCACGTTGCTAGACAGGCCTTGGTGGATTAAATATCTGAAAATGTGTATTTAAGCATGCACGTGGGAAAGGAGAGAAATAACTGGTGGATAAATGTGAAAAAGAAATCTCCTGTTGGGTAATTGTGAGCAAAAGGAGTACAAAAGTGAAATGAATTTAACCCGTTTTTATCCAGAATGTGGGGAAACAATACATTCAAATCAGATGCTAGACACATTATTCATTAACTGTTGGTGGTAGCTTAGATACAAGGTCCAATATTCTGAGGGTCTGCTTGCTCTTTGCATCTTATTCAGGAACTTTTTTCATCCAGCCCACTAACTGATCTCATTTCAGTATATCGTATGTTTGCATCATGATCTGAAGCAGCATTGCATAGTTAATTAGACAAGGAAAAAGAAGGGGGGGAAAAAGACAAATTTATCCTGGGTAACCTCTTTGCCTTTAGAAGCTTTGCTTCTAAACACAAATTGTCATTTGTACAAAACTCGCTGTGTGCACAAAATAGCCATTCATAGGCTCTCTGCTCTTTTTGAAAGAAGACAGGGTTTGTTCCAGTGAGTGCAAAACACAGTTGCCATAGTAACACAAAGGGAGACAGATGATTCTCCCAGAATGCACAAAGGACCATCACAACATCTCAACCTTTTCATTTTTGTTCCACAAATCATTAAGTCAGAGTTAGGGAGGCTAAATCCCGTCACTGGCAAATTCAGATGTTTATAAAATAGCTGTTGAAGTTATTTCACTAATCTATTATTCTAGGGCATATTGGTTTGGTTTTTCTACAACGATTTCTTAGCAAAATGTTTTGGGAATTGCAATACGATCAAAAACAACAACTCGTAAGCTCTAAAACAACCATTTTTATCTCAACCCGGACAATCTGCATGTCGCCCATATTAGTTCACGCTTGTGTTTTTGCACATATTCCAATGAATACACATAAGAGGAGGAAAAGAAATTACATTCGCTCCAACTGGCAAGGCTTAGATACCACTCAGAACTGTTCAGAATTTGGGCTAGAATGAATGAACAGCAATGCTGGGGTACATCCCTCCTTAATTAGTCACACTTGGTTTCTCCTGTCATCAGAAAGGACTAAATAACAAACAGAAATTCTCTCCCTGGTTTGGAATAGCCACAAATTACAGGAGGAATGATCCCTCTAAAGACCAAACATAGCCTTAATCCCCAAAAGGATACCTCCCCATTAAAAAGATGGCCAGGTCTTCTCCCCAATTAGATGTCTCTGTGCTTTTCTTTTTTTTTTAATAACGATACAGACATATAACCTTTACTTTCCTCCTTGTCATTGTTTTAAATTAAAGGTAATTTTCAATAGCCCTCCTCCCCACATGGCAGATCAGGAACTTACATTCTAACACAGGGCTTTTCAACCAGTGGTACGGGTACCACCTGTGGTACATTGGCACCTGGTAGGTGGTATGCAACCATCCTAGAAAAGTGGTAGCAGGGGAGGGGAATGAGCTGAACCGGTGGCAGCACCGCACAAGTCTGAGCGAAAGATGGCTGGAGCTGCAGGGCTGTCAGGACTCAGCGGAAGCGCCAGGATCAGCGCTTCTTCGGGGCTGTCAAGGCTCAGTGGAAGTGCCAGGATCAGTGCCAGGCTCCAGCTGGGCCCAGAAGAAGCGCCAATCAGCTGGAATGTTGCACCATCTCCAGGGTCTTGTGATTTACATTCAGATGCTTGGCAACTGATTCATATTTATGACGGTCACAGTGTCCCAGGGTCATGTGAAGTGACCAAAACCTGCTGCAACAACCCAGCAGATGGGGGGGAATAAAAACCAAATAGCCCCCACCCCACCCCCACTGCCAATCCCCAACAGAAATGCTCACAACAATGGAAACCTCGGACAGGAGGAAGAGCGCCACCGGGTGGGCAGGCAGGTGTCTTGCTCGGCTGTGGCTTGGGGGGCCCTTTTTTCAGTGCCATTGTAACTTCGAACAGTCACTAAGTGAACTGTTGTAAGTCAAGGACTACCTGTACTTTATCACTTTTTTCCTTTTTTTTTTTTGGTCATCAAGTTTTTGATACCTTGCTAGGCGACTGGTGGTACTCGGATGTTGCCATATCCTAAAAGTGGCACAATGGGTGAAAAGGTTGAAAAGCCCTGTTCTAACACACCCACTTTAACACAGTATAAACTTACTGTTTGTAAGCATTTGCAAGTCCTCAACTGACGGAGGCGCCCCTTTCTTCTCATATGGGATAACAGTGTTCAAATACTGGAAATAAGAAATTCTGGTAGTTATAAATCCTAGCCATTCTTCCAATCAGAAACAACCACCCCGATCTTTGTTTGTTTGTTTGTTTGTTTGTTTCCAAAAGAGCCATTACAGACAGTTCATACAATCAGTAAATAGGTTAACAACATATTTTATCTACTGAGTGTGTGAAGCAGAGGTACATGGTCTCGGTCTGTTTTGCAGGGAGGATAACCAGATATGAGCTGTGCCATTACCAGTCAGAGGGGCGTGAGAGACAGAAAGCAAGAAAGATGCCAACAGTAAAAACAATACTGGGTTAGATGGGCCAGGAGCATCAATTAACTGTAAACAAGGCTCTGGGTTTCTTAATCTCAAGGCTACCTTACATTGGTTAAGTCCAACCTTCTACAACAGGGGTGTCAAACTCAATTTCATTGAGGGCCACATCAGCATTGCGGTTGCCCTCAGGGGGCCGGGTGGGTGTGGCCAGGGTGGGTGCGGCCTACTGGGTGGGCGTGGATTGAGTAGGTGTGGCCTACTGGGTGGGCATGGCCAGCTCTACATCATTCACGTCAAGGGTGCCTATGGGGGCCTGGGCACGAATGGGACAGATCTGAGGGTCTCTGGCAGAAGTAGGTGAGGGTCATTTGCTGGCCACTTCCAGGCAATGGTCCATTTCTTCATTCCTCACAAAGGGTGACACCTCCCCAGCATGCACCCAGGGGGCGGGGCCGACGCGGCAGGGGCTGGTTCCTCGCTGTTTCCAGACGGCGTTGTGGAGCTAGGACTGAATGCGTTTCAGCATAGATGGCCACCACAAAATTGTACATTGGCTCCTGACTGGCCTGGGTCAGGGCCAAGGCAGTGGGGGCCATTCCCTCACTGTTTCCAGGATGGCTTCACGGGCCACATGAAACCACTTTGCGGGCCGCATCCAGCCCCCGGGCCTTGTGTTTGACACCCCTGTTCTACAAAATGATCATGTTGTTTCAGCCCTCTACATGGGCTACCTTTGAAAAGTCCCTGGAAGTTCAATTAGTTCAAATGCAAGGAACCACATGGTTTTGTGCAGGTCTGTATTTGCACATATCTCTTGTGGGACTGCATTGGTTACTGATTTACTTCCAGGCCCAATTCAAGGTGCTGATTATAAATCATCTTTACAGCTCTACATTGATTGGGGGCAGGTTATTTGAAGGACCATCTTTTCCCAATTACATCTACTCAATCCACCAGATTGGGGAGGTAGAGTATATTATGGGTACCCACCATCAAGGAGGTCCATCTAGTGGGATCAAAAAGAAGGGCCTTTTCCATAGTGGTCCCCAGGAGCATGGGAATATCTTGGGATCTATATTTGGGGTTTTATTCCTATAAGTTACCTGGAGTCACTGTGAGTGAGTTGGGTGACCATATACATTTCTTATACATTCATATACATAAATAAATGAATAAAATAAGCAACAACAATCATAGCCTTAACCTCAGAGGAACTGTATCTTCTGGGTGAAACTATTGCGCTCTTACCTGCTTTTCAGCTGCTGAATTTCCAAATGTCTGCCGGATTCCAGTTTGCAGAATATTTGAAATTCCTTCCATACTGAACCGCTACAAAGAGGAGAAAACAGAACTCCGAGGGCTTGTCTTTAGACTCTTAGTTTGCTACTACAGGACTGTCTGATTGGTCCCAACCCATTGGGTAGAGCAGAAGGAGCAGAAGTTTGACAAAAAAAAAATGTCGCCATTCTGCCCCTATAGATTTTGAGTTGAAAAAATATCTGGTAGAAAAATAACATCCAGATTCTCCATGGACTAAATACACCTTGGATGAAAAACCTGGAGCTCTTGATATGCATCTAAACCACAACTCCCAAACAACTCAATAACAAGAGATGCTACAGGAAGCACCAGCATGGCACATCCTAATGGCACATCTTAACGACACATCTCATGTTCTAAGGAAGAGTACATATCCAAGATCTTAAATTGCTGAGATGCTTTGCATATATATCTATAACCCAATATAAAATTAACCAAACAAGTGGAGAAATTCCAATTAAAAGAAACCAGTAGATCAGTCTTGACAGTAGATTCGTGTCCCCCCCCCCCCAAAAAAAAGATGGGTTGGTAACCAGAGGCAATTTCTGGACCGGTTGGGTTTCCTGAGAGGTACTCCTTTCATAACTGGAAGATCCTGGATTGGAAAAGCTGCAGAACGTTGTGCAGGGTGAACCATTTCAGTCGTAAACTGCTAAGAGTATCCTAAAATCCTTCTAGGATAATTTTGGAATAACTAGTCCATCAGCCAGAAGCTGGCACCAAATTCTCCATGGAGAAGAATTCACAGAATCCATCCATTGGCTTATAACAACACCTTTGTGAATGTGGCACAACAATGAGTTATTTCCCAGCTCCCTTAGCTAAATGAACACCTAGCAAAATATATACATTAAGAGAGTCTGTAAACAATTTTAAAAAGAAGCGGGGAGGGGGCAGGAATCTTAAATCTATGCTATTCTTACTTCCGTTCCTCCTTTTTAACTGAAAGCCATCTTCAGGGAATTCTCACTAACCTTGAGAGGCATCTGAGCTGCCCTTTCTATCCGATTGTTTTGCAGACTCAGTCCTTTTTCTTTCCTCCTCCTCTTTATCATCTCTCGATGTTCTTTCTGCTTGTTCTGCACCTCCATCAGGATGGTGATGAAGGAGTTCTTCACCTCCTTCTCAAACTCCAGCTCATCTCGACAAGCCAGCTGCTGTATCAGCTCCTCCGAGTAATCCTGAATAGCACCTTCCACTCGATCCAGAATCTCCAGAAGTTCCTGGGCAGACATGTGCCCCAAACCTTGGAAAGCGGGAAGAAACAGATAGATGCCTGTTCATACATCAGGTGGACCACTCTGACCGAGGTCATGACAAGGACTTTAGTGCAAGGATCGGTGTAAAGCTGCGTTAGGTGCTCACAAACTGCGGTATAAGCGCCAAGGGTCATTAACAATGTCAAGTGTTATTTTTCAGGACATTCATCACAACACTCATAATGGATTCGTTAATTAGCGATGTCATTTTTAATACATGAATTGGTTAAACAGGGATACACTTGGAAATGAAAAAAAACCACGATTGTCTCGAATGAAAGCATACATGCACAGTCAATAAAATTTTAGAAGAGGCATTCCATCCCCTTTTGTTCTTAGCAAGGAAGAATGCCTCGTAAGATGATTGCTTATTACATTTTGGTTATAAAATAATGTAAATCACTTGCCCAGTGCATCAGTCAATCAAAATGTTAATCTAATTCAGTGTTTCTCAACCTTGGCAACTTAAGACGTCTGGACTTCAACTCCCAGAATTCCCCCAGCCGGCATGTTGGCTAGGGGAATTCTGGGGATTTGAGTTCCATGCATCTTAAGGTTGCCAAGGTTGAGAAACACTGGTCTAATTAGTGAAAACAATGGATGCTGCCCCAGTTATTTTAGATGGTTAGGGAGGGGAATTTTCTGCCACCAAGCAGAGAGTCCCAAAATTAGACTGTAATCTGCTTCAAGAAATCTCAGCAGAAATGCTGTTTTACCTAGTGAAGGCATGTTTGGAGGCAACCAAGATGTGGCTGGCTCAGATAAGTTGCCCACTAAAGGTTTCCCCAATTGAGAGGATAATTCCACAGTTTTTGTATTTCGCATGCATTCACACTCTATGTGTTCACAGACTGCATACAAGGAAACAGAGGAGCGTATTTAAGTCAGGGACACTGACTTAAAAGAAAGGTGCATGCACTGGGATTGAATGATTGGTAGAGAGAGACTTCCTATGGCAAATGTGTGTCCCTTAAAAGCATGTTGTGGTCTTCCTTAATGGGTAAAGCATTCATAGATAAGCCTCTTTAAGAACTGCAGGGATGCTTTTTTTAAGGGCTTGGTGTTCAGTTTATAGTTGGGTTGAAGGTTCTGTTGTCTGGGCGCTTTTATTTACTTCTTTTTTCACCTGGGCACCTTATGTTTGTGGGTCTGAGAAACCGTAACTCACCCCAGGTTCTAGGAATGGGGCAGCCTACAAATAAATAAATCAGCATTAAAGATTGCAAATATCGGAAAGTTTAGTTCACACTTCAAAAACATAGTTGCCATTTAGATGTGCATTTGTGTAACTGTTCTGAGATGAACTTCTGACATGTTGGAGGTGAAGACTTCTGAATAAATAGAGAGAGCAAAATTAACGTCTTCCTTTCCCTTTTCCCCCGCCCTCAAAACTGGGGGATAAAAGGCCGAATATGGATGTCTCTTTTCTGCTCCTCTCAAAGTGGGCAAAAAGTAAGTTTAAGATATTTTCCCAGCTCCTGAAGAAAACTACTAAAGAAACCCCTTCTTCCTTGAGAAAGATACCAGCAGAACCAGCAGAACAACTAAATAATCCCATATCATGACTAAGAAATTGAGTAGATTTCATCCATCGCAGCAACAATGTCTTGGTGCAATAACCTGAGGAAGAGAAGATACAGTGCAGCTATATTTTAGGGCCTATTTCATAAAAGTTTGAAAGAGAAGAAGGTAGAGCTATATTGCTTTTTATCCTGATTTGAATTTTGTTTGTTTGGGTATTTGTCACTTCTTTCCTGCACTTGCATCGCCAAAGCAACAGGAACATTAGAGAATACAGCATGATTAAAAAAAAAAACAATCTCCATTGAAAAGATTGTATGGTGCAAATCTGGTTTCAAAGGAAAGGACCCATAAGGAAGTCATTGGGATCTTCACGTGCCCTTCCACAATTAGCACAAAGAGAACAAATATCTGTACATATCAATAAGCAAGCTCTGTATTGCCCTGGAATAGAATAGGATAGGATAGGATAGGATAGGATAGGATAGGATAGGATAGGATAGGATAGGATATGGAATGGAATGGAATGGAATGGAATAGAATAGAATAGAATAGAATAGAATAGAATAGAATAGAATAGGATAGGATAGGATAGGATAGGATAGGGAATGGAATGGAATGGAATGGAATGGGATAGGATAGGATAGGATAGGATAGGATAGGATAGGATATGGAATGGAATGGAATGGAATGGAATAGGATAGGATAGGATAGAATAGGATAGGATAGGGAATGGAATGGAATGGAATAGGATAGGATAGGATAGGATAGGATAGGATAGGATATGGAATGGAATGGGAATAGAATAGAATGGAATGGAATGGAATGGAATGGAATGGAGTGGAATAGAATAGAATAGAATAGAACCACATGGTACAGTATATTTCTGTCTGCTTTGAGAGAGAGGAGAGGAGAGGGGTGGGAGAAGGAGAAGGAGAAGGAGAAGGAGAAGGAGAAGGAGAAGAGGATTTTTTTTGTGCAAATCCATATCATTACTTTCTTTTTTTCACTGATGCAATTCAACTTTGGGGCAGGCAATGCACGATAACCACAACAGACCTGCATATCACAGAGATGAGCCGTTCTCACCAGAATTAGGTAGTTTACAAACAACAAGACAGCCAAAAGGAAATATTCCCAGCCACACAACAGAAAGAGGTCTATCTCTGCTAAATGTTTCATTGAGTTTTGTACCACTGACTGTTTGGCTTCTGGAATCATGCAATCCTAGTTCCATCACCCCATTCACCTCCTCTCAATCTGAGTAAAAAGATGTGAGCTTTTTCACACAGCTGAATCAACATCACCCCGAATTGGATCACTTGAAGTTGCAGATGGGGAATCTGATATTTGGTGTGTCACACGTTTCCTTAATGTTTCTCCCGCAAGCCTTACTGTTCGTACAATACATGCATACATATATTTGTAAGTATGCATTAGCTACCCTCTCAGGCAGAACAATCTGAATTCCTTTGCTGCAGTCTGAAATGGTACAGCCCAGAGAAAAGCTGCAGTGACAGTTATACAAACTAGCGGTCAAAGGACAAAAACACCTTACGGAGAGAGAAGATGTGTTCCTTTCAATGCGCCACATGTTCTTACCTTCACATGACCAATTTTTGTTCAGGCTTTGCGACAAGGCCTGAATTTCCTGCAAAAGGACCGAATCGGCCTGACTGCTTGTGTCCCCACCATCATCCTTCTCTAAAATTTCTTCTTCCTCTTCAGGGTCAGGTGAATTTTGCATCATTTCCTCAATTTCTTCAATCACCTGCAAAAAAAAAGGACAGTCAGTCAAATCAATTAAAGGTGATGGCTGGCTTCAGTGTGTCAGAAAAGGAGATGTTGCTATGGAAACCTTATAGTTGAAAAACCCCATATTCCCTATTGGGCGATAAACCGCCCACGACAAACGGAGGGACATTTTTCTCTCCAATGAGTAAAAATGCGGTCAGGTGTCCTTTAAAGCCTTATTTTAATGCCCAAAACCAGAGCGTGAATTTTTTTAAAAGGAATATAAAAGAGCCATTGCTACAGTAAGTCAATATCCTCCACAGTGAAATCATAAGAAGGAAAGAAAAACTCCACTAGCCCAGCTTTCTTTCTGATAATGGCCAACCCATGTTTCTAGGTGTTTGCAGAACAGAAGGTGGAAGTGTTATTATCATAGTTGGTTGCAAAGGCAGCCAGATGTTCAGACTGGACTTGGCATTTTTATCCACCAATCAAGTCCTTCCCAAGGACCTGGGATAGGCAGATGTGGATGTTTGATGGTGTTAAAGATATCATTGCAGGATGTAAGCTGTTCCGAGTAAAGCTGCCTTTTGCAATTGACCAGTGGTGAATTTATCAATGCGGATGGTGTTTAAGTGGTTCTCCAATTGTATTATTATTATTATTATTATTATTATTATTATTATTATTATTATTATTATTATTATTATTATTATTGATTCAATTTGTATGGCCAGTCATCTTATCTAAGTGACCGTGGGTAGCTCAAAACGGGTAAAAACAATCCAATAAAAACAAGTTAAAATTAATAAACATATAAAAACTGTCCATAATCAAGTTTTAAAAAAACAGAAAATCACAATCAGCAGCAGAATTCATTCTATGTCAGTTCAATGCAGCACTGTAAGAGGTCCCACCATTGCTGGAATCCAAGGGACAACATCAGAGCCATGTCTTCAGGATCTTCCTAAAGGCAGGAAGGATCACGGCCGATACCTTTCTCCTGTCTCTATCCCCTGCAGCTGGTATCTGGAGCCCTGGTACTGTCAAGCCCGACATTGTACTGTTCATCCTTGCACACACAATCACTGTACATGTACACACATCCAGCTTTGATACCTCTTGCAGTCTCTAAAGCTGTGTTTCCCAACCCTGGCACCTTTAACATGTGTGGATTACAACTCCCAGAATTCCCCAGCCACATTACTAAAAATTCAAGGAGCTGAATTCACCTCCTAGAATTGTTTTGAATCATCTCAAACTCCAGTTCTCTGGACAGATTACAACATTTTTTCCGAATAACAAGCACATACAGCAATCAAAGGAATAAGAGAAGCACAGGTCGAAGATGCGAATAGAGAGTTAAAAAAAAAACAAATTTAAAATCAATTATATAAATCAGGGGTCTTCAAACTTGGCCCTTTTATGACTTGTGGAGTTCAACTCCCAGAATTCCTCAGCCAGGCACGCTGGTTGAGGAATTCTGGGAGTTGAAGTCCACAAGTCATAAAAGGGCCAAGTTTGAAGACCGCTGATATAAATGCTTGAAAGAAGGGGAAATGACTTCACCAATCACCAGAAAGACAACATTATGGAAACCAACTGTGTCTACCAGTGGCTCACTCTTAAAAAGACCTTCTCCTTGTAGCCATCTGCCTTGATTCACCCGCCATGAACATTTCACTTCAGACTTCAAACAATTCTAAGTAAGTGGGTAGATGACATAAATGTTTCTAAGCCGGAAAAAAGTAATCAAGCATGGCAGACATTCCAGCTTTAACTCAAGCTAGACATTAGTCCATCCATTATGAGTTTGTGAAAAAGAATTGACAGAAACCCAAGGGCTAGAGTGATGTTTTCCAAACTTGGCAACTTTAAGATGTATGGACTTTTAACTCCCAGAATTCCCCAGCTATGATTCTGGAAACTGAAGTCAACACATCTTAAAGTTGCCAGGTTTGAAAAACACTGGGCTAAAGTATCCTTGTTTCCAAGATTCTGTACAGTAATCTAACTCCTTTTTTCCTTGCATTAGACCTGATTAATGACACTTTGATTTCTTGCTTTCTTGGATATCTGCTGTTATTAGGGCAGCAAGTATATATAAAAAGAGGCAGTACTGCATTAAATACTCCGATCTGAGGTACTCAACACCTACTGTATGTTGAATTAGCACCAGGAACATAAAGGCAACCACTGCACTGAAAAATCTCTAATTCCACAAACCCATAAAGACTTCAATTAATGGACAGTAAATGGATGTAGGAAACTGAGACGGATAAACATTCTTATCTGCCAAGTCAATTGCAGAACCAAAACTTTTGCAAATGTTGCATTTTTTTAACTCCCATCCACAGATGTCTTTGGACTATGGTTCCAGAATCTCTAGCCAGAACTGTTTTGCCCATTGTATTTGTAGTCCAAAACATTTGGAAAATGGGAAATGCCAAGTTGGGGGGGGGAGTTGCTTTAGGAGATCTAACTATCTCTAATGGAGGCTGAATTATTCAAGACACACATACAGTAATGAAATAATAAATGAAGATCACATCCCAGCTCCTTAATTCACAGAGTTATATCTTGGCTTTCCACCAAAGCTACTCAAACACTTTACTTACAATTGGCTGTAATGGTTTATAATCTAAGACAGCCTTCTCCTGCTTCATGGCCCCTGAGTGAGTAAAACTATCTGTTGCACCATCTGGAGAGGCCATTATAGTCACATCAACTTTGAATAATGCTAGTTGTTGCCAACACACCTGAACTGCTTTAGGCTGGGGATGACTAATCTACAAGGGTGTACATTTTTAAAACAGTTCAAGATATCTCCCCCTCCTTCAGAAACTGAAAAACAGAGGACAGATGTCAAGGTTGAACATACGTTTATACAAGTTGATGCACACAGGGAATGGCTAACTTGAAAACAGACCAAAATGTGGTAACTGTATTACATTCCAGCCCAGCGTTTGCCTGAATATCAAGAATTAACCAAATTTCTTTTTAACCTCCCACTATTTGAATGGGCATTGTTAATCTAACCCAGGGGTCTTCAAACTTGGCCCTTTTATGACTTGTGGACTTCAACTCCCAGAATTCTGGGAGTCATAAAAGGGCCAAGTTTGAAGACCCCTGATTGAACCTATAACCTATCTGACCACACTGGGAAAACCTGCATATCTGATCATGCACAGGAAATTAATAATTCCATTCCACAGGAATATATAGTGCATCTCCTAATCCTATTTTTATGCTAAGACAGGGTCCTGGGGAGGCTGAATGCAACCACATGTTTATTAGATCCGTGTCCCTCCTGGCTGGTACTGGCAGCTCGGGAGGGGACACGAGCCTGGTTCCAGGGAATTGTCAACGCTTCTTTGCAGGAGGGTGTCTTCCCGGCGGCCTTAAAGGAGGCCGTGGTGAGGCCCCTCCTCAAGAAGCCTTCCCTGGACCCA